AATGTTTCTAAACTGGAGAATGACAGCTTAAGGAAAAATACCCTGATAGCAATGAATAAAACGACTGGATGACTATTAAAGAGCACATCGAGTAGGAAAAAACAGTTAGGACACTATTTAAATTTTCCAGAGCAGAAGCAACAAGACATTCAAGTAATGGTGGTAGTACTAATGCAACTGATATGAAGTGAAACAAATCTCTTACTGGCTATAAACTGCTCCTGGAAAGTCAGTAAAGAGTTTACCCTGCAAATGATAGTGTATTTATCATACATTAGTCCCAGTATCCATTTCACAAAATAATTCATTCAGGTAGTTGATTTTTTTTAACTTTATTTTTATTGTTGGCCCTATTACAGATGTTCCCATTTTCCCCACCTTTGCCCACCTCCACAGAGTCCCCACCTTCCCCTGGCCTTCTCCACGCTGTCGTCCATGTCTAAGGGTTGTGTTCTTTGGCTTATCCCTCCACCTTCCTTCATCCAGTCCCCCGCTCCCTCTCCCCTCTATATTTATATACTATTCTTAATAACATGTACATATAAATGCATCTTGGTTAAAAACAGACACTTTTAAGTAAATTTTAACTATTCTAACACAATCTCTTCAGTTTTGAGGGAACAGGATAGAAAAATTACCTTAAAAGGACAAGATATCAATTTGAGAGTTCAGTGAACAACTCTCACGTAAACTTCCAGTTTGTAAACATGTTAATAAGGTTCTTATGCAATTAAAATAAGAAATAGGCTAAGCATAAGAACACACTGAGTTTTCTACTGCAGATCTGTGTGAAAGCAGAAGGCTCACTAGTTGCAGAGAGTTATGGCTAACATTCCAGGTTGTACAGAGCAGAAGTTGTCTCCTTATTTGTGTGCCATTTGTGACTGGAAACGCATCCTCTCAAATGTTGCCATGGTTTGCAGCAAGCAAGATCATTTAGGTTTGCCATCTCAGGGGTTCTTAAGTATTGCACGGACATTACTGGGTTCATGTGCTTGTTTACCTCTTTCATTGTTCTCTTTGCTGCCCAAAGGACATTACAGCCCTGGCTGTTTTGGCTCAGTGGTTAGAGCACTGGCCCACAGACCAGAGAGTCCCAGGTTCAGTTCCCGCTAAGGGCACGTACCTTGGTTGCAGTTTGTCCCTGGCCCCGGTGGGGGTCATGTGGGTGACAGTCAGTTGATGTGTCTCTCTTGCATCAATGTTTCTCTCTCTCTCTCTCTCCCCCCCCTTCCTCCTGCTCTATCTGAAGATAAATGCAAAAATGTCCTCATGTGAGGATAAAAAAAAGGACATTACAAACCATTATGTGAAATTGTGCCATCATTACAGATTTATGAGAGAAATAAATGACTCCTGTGATGGATTTAAGAATGCAGAACCTTAAATAGAGGTTTTCCTCAAAATATAATTCCATCTCCCACTCCCAAACCTGATCTCTCTCAAACTTCCTCCTCCTTTGAAAACTGAGACAGAGGAAACATTTTTTTAAGTTTCACATAACCTACTACTATAATATTCATCTTCAAACAATTTCATAATTGTCTTCAACATTCATCTTCTTAAAAGCAAGGCAAGTTTCATGGAAAATGTCAGTTCCCTAATGATAAAGAAAGCGATCTAAAAGCTCGCGAGGGGTAAACCACGCTCTCCCCCACCCCCAAAGTATAGATGGTTTTAATCAACTGCATCTCAGTTAGTGAGGAATACTGAATGTTTTTAGTATAGAGTTCTCAAATGGAAACTTAGAAGAGTTCAACTTGCCAAAAAGATCCAAAGACACACAGTTTAATCAGGTATTGAATTATGCCAAATGCATAGTTTTAGTACGTCTTCACATGGTCTTAACCAGGTAGCATAAGAATGCCAGTGATTGGTAAGGCAACCAATCAAGCTGCTAACAAAGCCAAGTCCTCTCAGTGCCTGAATCAAGAAGATGAAAGAAAATGAAGTGAAAAGAGAAGGGATGTGGTAGATTGTGAAAGGTGGCCTACAAACTGCCCCCCTTCCCGTACGTGTGGTCCTGTGCACTTTAACTTCATGTCGTGTGGATAAGCCCAGGCCAGACTAGAGGTGGTGACACACATGTGGTTACCACTCCAGGAAACACACAGCAACCACCAGATATGTATAGCGCCAATGTAGACCTTCCAGCCCCCGCTAAGCCAGTTTTTGCTTTTTTTTTTTTTTTTTTGAGAAATCTGATATGTAGCATTTTGTAAATTTAAGATGTACAGAGTGTTACTTTGATACATTTATATTTTGTAATATAATTGCCATTGAAGCAATATTCATCACATTACATCATTAGAGTACCATATTGTTTATATTCATTATATTGTGCATTAAATCTCTCTGGCTTATTTACTCCTCATTGCAAATTTGTACCCTTAAACACCATCTTAACCCCTAACCCCACCAGCTGAGCCAGTTTTGATGAGAAAAACACCCAGCCAACCCATAAAACTGTAAGACATATAGATATTGTTGTTTTCATTCATAGCTTCGGACAGTTTGTTACGGAGCAAAAGCTAACTGATACAAATGGTAGTTCTAGGACTGGAGTGCTGCTATAACACAGCTTTGGGGCCAGGTTGTGACAGAGACTGGAAAAGTGGCAAAAGAGTGTTCGCCAAAATTGGGGAAACAGTGAATAAACTGCTAGCAGAGGCTAGAAAGTTACTGAAGAAACTGCTACAACACTGGTAAAATGGGAATCTGTGGTATACATAGTGAAGCAATGGCAAAACTTGGAAATGATAACTTGGAAAACAGAAAATTTACCTAATAAATTTGTATGTTTGACAAAGGAGAATACCAGGCAAAATGTTGAAGGAGTAATTTTGTTTTTATTTGGACAAGATAAGGTAAAAAAAAAAAAAAGAAAGAAAGAAAGAAAGATGAGCTATGAGAGAACTGTGCTGTTTGCCAACAGAATTCATAAGCAATATAAAGAAACCAAGACTTGAGAGCTTAGAAAATAAAACTATTTCATATCTCTAGACTCTCTAGCCACTAAAAGATTATCAAAGTAAGAACTGACATCAGGATAAAGATCCAAATCTTGTTAAACCACTGACCAGGGTAAGGTAATGCTTAGAATCTTACAGATGTTGAGTCGCAGCAACCTGACATGCAACCCAAAGTTGAAAGTGGCCTCTGAAAAGGTGGTGATGTGGCCTTTAGGGCATAGTGTAGGCCCAAAATAGCTTCATAGGGGTCCACCAGTTTTTAAGAGAGCAGAACGAGTAAAATCCTGGCCAGCTTGGACTAAAATAGAATTCAAAATGAAGATTCCTCTGGGCCCCCAATTTTCTACATGCAAGAGTCAGGTTGAGAAAGCAAACCAGCCACAAACATGAGCTATTTTTGTTGAAAAGGAAGGGTGGGTGTCTCAGAGGGAAAGGAAAGAGACCAGAGGGCAATAAACCCCCTTCCTCTGAGAAGAATCTCAAAGGACAATAAGCCAGGGAGTCAATTCTAGGAAGAACTGGGCCCTGATTAAGAAACTAGGCCCTGATCTGTTTCTTGATTAGAGGAAACCTAGCAACACGTGCCAGGCTAAACTTCATAAATGCTATGGACAATTTTTTTAGGTGTTAGCCAAAGTTTGCTGTTCTGGTTGTTACTTCCGTAAGAGCTGTAGAATATAAAGTGTTCCAGGGGTGGGGCTTGATTCCCTCATGATTGAAGCTCCATTTTAAACAACAAAAATTTAATTAGATTGTCTCATTTCCCTGAGTCTTCCAATTAATCAAAAATATATTTTAATTAATAAATCACTTTCAACAAGCCTCAGGACCTTTCTACTTGCTCTTCTGTCTTTCTCTGGAACACTTTCCAAGCTTCAGATGTCACCCTTTTTTTGTTATTGTTAATCCTCACTCGAGGATATCTTTCCATTGGTTTTTAGATAGAGTGGAAAGGAGGGAGGGAGAGAGAAAGAGAAACATCAGTTGAGAGAGACACATCGATTGGTTGCCTCCTGCATGACTCTAACCTGGACTAGGGATCAAACCTGCAAACCAGGCACCTGCCCTTGACCAGGAATTGAACCCATAACCTTTGGTCCACAGGCTGACCCTCTAACCGCTAAGCCAAACAGCCTGGGGCACAAATGTCACCTTTTGATGATGCTCTCTTCCTGCCCACACTTTTAAAATTGTAAACTGCTTCCTGTCTCCCTTCCCTGACTTATTTCTCTCTGTGCTTAAAACCTTCTAACGTCCTGTGTAACTTACTTAATTGTTTGGCTTATTATCTCTCTCCCCTGACTAGTAGGTAAGTTTTATAAAAGCAGGGATTTTTCTCTGTTTTTCTCATCATTATATCTGAGACACCCAAAAGAGTGGTGGGCTTATGATAGGGCCTCAATAAATAGTCATTCAATAAAAGAATAAATTCTTTTGTCACTTCAGTTTTCTTTGGTACTGTATTAGCAGACACTGCGACAACAAAACAAAAACAATGTGACCTGAATGTGGTATCCTGTTCACAGCAAAATTCAGTGCTTCCCCCAGAAAGAGGGAAAGCGTCAATATGAACTGAGCCGTTTGCTCAGAGCCTCGTAGTGAAATAAGAGAACTCCTGCAAAGCCTCTAAAATGATCAGCTTGTGTGTGAAGCATGAGATTCTATTACCTCTTACTATTCATAACTCGGGTATTATAGTATTATGACTGGTCATAAAATTGCCTAGCCCTTTCTAATTTGTCCATTGACTAAATCTATAATGTCCTAGGGTAGTAAATTGCACAGGTTGGCCATACCTTGGGTGAGGAAATATTTTCCTTATGCTTTTTTATTCTAAATTTTTATCAGCCATTAATTTCACAGAAGGAGTGACCCTTGTCTTAATAGTTGAAAGACACAAAATTAAGTAAACTGAGCCTGCAATAAGGATGTCATATTAGTCATTTGGGTGGTCATGTTCCATTTATCATGTGAATATGTGGCTGTGTTAGAAGAGAATAAATAGCTAATTGTTTTCCTTTTAGGTTTTTCATGGGAGGATTTTTCATGGGAAATGTCAAGATAAAGATAAAGGGAAAAGGAAGAAAAACAAACAAACCAGAGTTAGGTGACTATCCGGATCGAGGACTATCATTCTACTTGGGGTTTGTTTTTTTTTTACTTGCTATAGTCTAAGATAATATGATAAAGAAAATTGATTCAATCAGTTTAAAGCTGACTTCTTCCCATGTGACCATAGCAAGCATTTGACTACTTCTATCCTTTAGGTTAGAAGCAAATGAAAGAAGAAGGATTTGCTCTTGACAGGATCTTGTTCTTCAGACTAAGGTTGTCTTTAAAACCTGGTAACAAAGTATTTTCTAATATAATTACTGCATGGTATTTGGGTGTGTGTGTCATTTTTCAGAAGCTGTAGTACATTTCATTGAAATGTGTAAGGCCAGCTAATAACAGGCAGTTTGCTGCCTGCTGCATGATGAATCAGGTCGGGGGCCTCCGTAGGATTAAGCTTTGGCATGAACAGGGATGGTTTGTCTGTCTGTTTGTTTAGCTTTGATAATTCAGAAGACTTTTCCTCACTGTACTAATTACAAATGTTTGTAAAAACACAAGATTCTCCATTATTTAAAATTAAACAATTTCCAATAAACTCTTTTAGGGGTAATATACAGTTTTAATATAAAACAAGAAATGGTGGACAGAAGAGTGCAGAACAGTGAAGCACCTTGCCACCTTAGGTGGTTTTTCGCCTTCTTTCTTTCTCTATTGATTTTAAAGACAGAGGAAGAGAGAGGGAGAGAGAGATAGAAATATCGATGAGAGAGAACATCAATTGGCCACCTACCGCATGCCCCCCACTGTGCCCTGACCGGACATCGAACCAGAGACTTCTTGGTGCGTGGGTCAATGCGCAACCACTGAGCCACACTGGCCGGGCCCACCTTAAGTTTTTTAGGGAATGAAATATGTGCACACTGATGAACACTTAATATTGCAAATTGTAATATACTGTTTATCATTATCTACATATGTTGGCAAACATGCATTAGAAAAAAATCATCATAGCTGGGAAGGATTTTGTAATCCTATAGTACAACTTGAACATTTTACAGAAGAAATGAGAGCCTGAGAAATGAAATGATGTGCTCAAGATAACAGAACTACTTAGTGGAAGGAAGAAAAGTGTGGCAATTGTGCTGGCTTTCATCAATAGTCTAGGATGCTGCCTGAGTCATACATCTTGAAAGAGGAGACCCTTCTCATATATGACCAAAGGCTGGTCAATTTAAGACTGCTCAAGCCCAGCCTGGCTGGTGTGGCTCAGTTAGTTGGTTGGAGCATCATCCTGTACACCAAAAGTGGTAGGTTTGATTCCTGGTCAAGGCACGTACCCAGGTTTTGGATTCAATCCCTAGTTGGGGTGCATGCAGGAGGCAACCCATAGATGTTTCTCTCTCTCTCTCTTTCTCTCTCTCTCTCTCCTTTCCTCTCTCTAAAACCAATTTTATTATTTTTTTATTAATTTTTTTCTTTATTGAGAGAGGTTTAGAGAGAGAGGAAGGGAGAGGGAGAGAGACATAGAAACATTGATTGGCCGCCTCCTGCATGCCCCCCACTGGGGATCAGGCCCACAACCTGGGCATGTGCCCTGACCAGGAATTGAACTGGCGACCTCTTGGTGCATGGGTCGATGCTCAACCAGTGAGCCACACCAGCCAGGCCTCTAAAACCAATTTTTTTACAAAGCCCCCAGATCTGGAGCACTAGAAAAACAATTTCACCCTGGACACTGTCAGTGGGAAACGTAACTTACAAATTAACAAGAAAAGAGTTGCAGTGCTGCTCCTTCCTCTGTGATGCCCCTGCTAAGAGGTGAGTAGAGTAACTGAAGTCTTTTCAGTAGTGTACTATTCAATGCATATGACAACACTGATCAGTACGTGGATCTAATGTATGAAAATACTATTTCCCAAAATATATGATTCCAGTTTTCTTTATATTATGGCACATAATTATAACTTTAGTTCACATATTATGGGTCTTGCCAGAGGCTTGAAATCATGCCACTATTGCTTCTACTATTACTAATTCTCTATTCTGTAGAGATATTTTTATGCTTTGTGTGTCATTCTGTCACATGGAGTATGTTGTAATGAGTATATTTATGCGTCCAGCCATTAGGAGTGGGAACTGATGTATTATGTAGCCTTGCACCTCATGTGCAGCTGAATTACAATGCAGACCTTAGCAGCCAAGAAGTCTGCGTTCAGAGAAAAAAGAATTTTAAAACATAAACCATGTTCTCGGCACTAGCCTGGAATACTGGACATTCATAACCCACAAATGCCCAGACTATAAATTCGCAAGTTGCATTGATATGGCAGTAAAAGTCACTCTTCTGAAAGCTGCACTTGTAAAATATTTATAAATTCACATGGTTGTTTCTGGCAAATAACTACATCTGTCAGTTCTGTCTTTTTGCTCCCAACGCAGCAGGGTTGGTATCCTGTGTAATTCACAATATGTTCATAAAATATTACTTTGGAAAAATCGAGACGGAAGATATTTTGTTCTAGGGGGAAATATATCTGCTCCTCCAATGGTTTGGTATTACTATTGATCTCCTGAGATTTTTTTCTCATCAAGGCTTTATCTCTGAACAAGTTTTCATTTTATGGGACTTATCTAGTTTCCAAATTAGCAAACTAACCCCTGTGGGGTTTTCTTTAAAATCCCACATTAATATGTACAACACAGTGTACTTTTTCAGTTCCAAGGTCAATATGTATCAATGTCACATGGCAATGGAATTTTCTATATATTATCTCCATGTAGTGCTTAGGAGACCCTATACATATAGGGGGCTCTCTAGATAGACCTGTCTAGATAGTTGTTTGTTTGTTTGTTTGTTTGTTTCTTTGTTTTTAAGATAGGAGAAAAATAAGAAAAGACAGAAGATTGCATTTTCATATAGATGTGTGCCATCTAGGGCTATTCCTTTTGTTGTTGTTGTTGTTAATCCTCACCCTGAGGATATTTTTTCCATTGATTTTTTTTAATTAATTAATTTTTTTATCCTCACCCAAGGACATTTTTTCATTTTTGTTCAGATAAAGTGGGAGGGGGAGAGAAGAACAGAGAGAGAGAGAGAGAGAGAAGCATCGACATGAAAGGGACACATTGAGTGGCTGCCTCCCACATGACCCCAACCAGAGCCAGGGACGAATCACAACCAAGGTACATGCCCTTGACCAGAATCGAACCCACGACTCATTGGTCCACGGGCTGACACTCTAATTGCTGAGCCAAACTGGCGAGGGCCCATTGATTTTTTTTTTTTAAGAGAGAGTGGAAAGTAAGGGAATAGGGGGATAGAGAGACAGAGAGAAACATCGATGTGAGATACACATCAATTGATTGCCTCCGGCGCCAGGGAATTGATCCTGCAACACAGGTGCATGTTCTTGACTGGTAATCAAACCCTCAACCTTTCAGTGCATGGGCTGACATTCTATTCACTGAGCCACACTGGTCAGGGCGAGGGCTATTCTTTTCAGTCCACTGTTTCTAGAAAACACAAACAATTAGAAAAATGTGCTCCAAAATCATACCTACTAATAGGCTGAGTACTTGACAGCAAAATGTGCTATTGTACTGATTTTTATATCATTTTTATCTAGCTTTTCCTTTCCTCTCCCTCCACACAAAAAAAAGGACTTATTTATAATTGAAATATATTTGTTATACAGACAAAGCAGTTAAAAGTGATAATCAAAGATGTAATACATCATATAGTGCTATGGGTAATGTATCTCTTTAAGAATCTGATGAAAATTTAAGGCCTTTTCCCCTGAAAAAAATCTGAATTTACATACACACACAACACAAACTTCTGCATTAAAATTCCAGTGTTTTGAGATCACCAATACCATTTCACAGGCCACCACAGAGAAAGGGGGAAAAAAGTATATATCAGGAAACTAGAGTAAAATTATCATTAAAATTGAGCTTGGAATTTAGCTATAATTGTTGCAGCCAGAGCAAAAGAGAGAATTTAATGAATATATAAATCTCAATGTTCAATAGAGGAACACACATCATGTTTTCAGGAAACATATTTTAAGAAGGAATTTCAGGTGGATGAATCTCTAATTAATTATTTAATAGTCAATGAACAATGTCTTTAACAGCAGTTTTGCAAAGGTGCAAAACTTTTTTTCACATGGTCATTTTTATATTGTCCCCTTAATAAATCCTGAGGCTATCTTTATTAAATAGTAATTTTTATGAGCAGCTACACCAACTGAGCCTAGGTAAACCGGCTTCAGTGTGTGACATGACACAGCAGTAAATGATTTTCCTCTAGACTAGAGAAAGCTCCAATATTCATAAGGCACAAGGTGCTGCACTAGCCTTCCGTGAACAACTAAGAAGCTGCAGCATCAGCGGGGCCGCCTAGGACGTTGTGCAGACTCACTGGCCCACACACCTCATGGGCAGAGCCTCATGTGGAACGAAGGTGACTCTAAGTAAGGCACCAAGAAATATATGAGTTTAAGAGACAGGACTGAAAACTCTAAATACTTTAGAGTAGGACTAAAGTCTTGCCTGATGATGTCTGCACACTGTGGAGAATCCTATAATGTTATGAGTTGAACTTTTGAATTTTTTTCAGCCATAAAGTTTATCAGTCAGGTATATCATCTAGTAATAAGAGGGAACTAAGTTCATACCAACTAGTCCATCACTGAGAGAAAAAAGAACTAGGTAGGGAAACTCAAAGGTAAGAAAGAGTATTAGAGGTCACTAGACAGAAATAGATTGCCTGATTATATTGACCTACCAAATGCTTTTCTGGTGATTAGCAGCCCAAATCATATACATATACTTAAAAAAAAAAAAAAAAAAAGTCATGTACGCGACCTAAAAGCATTATAGAAATGATGTCTTACCAAGCCAGAGGAGCAAAATTTCTTGTTAAGATGCCTAAGACAGAAAGACCTGAAATCATTTGTCTAAATAATGTCAAAATAGCCACCGTTTCCCTCCATAAATGGAGGAGTGGGATTGGGGATTTACTCTGTGGGATTCGGTTAATTTTGCACTTGGCATAGTATAATATAGTAAATGGGCTTGGAAGAACTGGGCTGCATATTCATACCATTGCCTGGGACACATTTGGTGGCTAGAACACTTTAAGAACAGTAACCTTTCTCCAGAACTTTCTTTTGAGTGACATCTGGGGTGAATTAAGTTTCTGTTCAGTCCCGGCTTTAGCTACAGATGTGAAGGTGTAAATGCGCTTTCCAGGACCTGTAGATTATATGGTCATGATGCAGACCACTTTTATTAGGGGCTCAAGTGCCACATTTCCAGAAATATGAAGAATGACAGCGAGGAAAAAAGCCTTTAGAGCTTAAATTACAACCACATCTAATGAACTCAGAGGTGTTTTTCACTTACTATGGTATTGCTTTTCAACTCCTGTAGCTTAAATGAATCTAGTGATCATAACAGTAAATATGGGTTCCAAAGGTATCCCAAGAGGTATCATTAGTCACATATTACATCCTTTTCTAATTTGTACACTTTCCATGTTTCAGGGTTTCACAGGACTGCTGAAACCTCCAGAATTTCATGTTTCCCTCAGCAGTCTACAATAACCCTTAGTCTGAATGACATGTATTATTTCCTCAGCAAACATGTGATGTGGGAAGCTTAGTAAAAGATTTATTATCAGAAACGGCTCGATGTTTTATTTCCTCCCTTAATTGAATACATTATTGCTCTGTGTTTAGAAATGCTGTGTTGATGTATTGCACCTCAGAACAACTATGCACATGCCATCTGCAGCAGGAAGGGTTATTAGACTACAAATCAGGATACAGATGTTGGAGGAAAAGCTATGTATGCTAAGTCATAATACATTACAGCACATTTTAAATCTATAAATCATGGTGGTCCAGCAGGTTTTTACTTTTAAAAAATTAGATATTGGTACTTATAAAAATGAAGAAACTAGAAGCTCTCTCTTTTATCATACATATGATAGGTAAAGTGATAAGCCACTGAGGTGGTTGCTATGTCCCTTAGATGGTGAAAAAGGACTAAGTAACTTCAGAAGAAAAATCTCACCTTCTTATTCCTTAATACTAGTGTAAAAGATCCATATTTAAAGTAATGCTCAAAAGTAAACAAGCAGATAAATCTTCTGGGAGTGCAAATGATCACACCTTTATCGATCTATTTCACAAATTTAAATCTCACCTTATTCCATAATACTAGTGTAAAATATCTATATTTAACGTAATACTCAAAAGCGAACAAGCAGATAAATCTTCTGGGAGTGCAAATGATCACATCTTTATCGATCTATTGCACAAATTTAAATTTTTATCCATTTATTCAAAGAGCATTTATTGAGTACCTGTTACTTGCTAGGTGATACTGTTCTCTAGGGTTTTATTAAAATGAGACTCACTCGTATTATTTTGCTGCAAGAGCAGCTGTTGAACTTTTCTTTCTTTCTCCAACTATGTCAAGTTCAGGCCTAATACTGAACAGACTGCCTCTAGAAAGTTTACAAGACGACACCAACTGCTTCATTGGTCAAAAGGATCAACAGACGAAGCTCAGCCAGTGCAGCTGAGAGGACTGCTTTCCTGAGAGATGATGTTGCTACTCTTCCATTAGCTTCTCAAAACTATGATTCAATTATATAAATCTTAAATAAATAAAATCTAAGATGCTCACACTTTCGAGAGGGATTAGTGTCCTGTACATTTATTGATCTTCTGCACTCTTCTTAAAGCATCTGGGGGAATCATTAACAACACTTTATTCTGATCTACTTGCCTGTCATTCGAGGCTCTTCCACTCTCTACAAACACATTTGTGCTTTATTCACCATGCTCTTTCTATAAAGACCTAACATTACTGGCATTTACAATTGGGAGGCTTAAGATTTTAAAAAATTAGATTAGATATACTTTTTAAATGGGTATAGATTTACTTTTCCTTTCTTTTTTTAATTTAGAAAATTTTAAATACATTTTTATTGATTTTTTTGGAGAGAGGGGAAAGGAGAGAGATAGAAACATCGACGTGAGAGAAAAACATGGATCAGCTGCTTCCTGCATGCCCCCTACTAGCAATTGAGCCCACAACCCTGCCATGTGCCCTGACTGGGAACTGAACCGGGACCTCGCTGTCCATGGGATGACGCTCAATCCACTGAGCCACACCAGCCAAGCTACTTTTTCTTTTTTTTAAAAAATAATTTTTCTTTATTATTGATTTTTAGAGGGAGAGAGAGAGGGAGAGAGATAGAGACATCCATGAGAGAGAACACTGGTTGCTGCCGGCATGCCCCCACTGGGGATCAGGCCCACAAGCTGGGCATGTGCCCTGACCAGGAATTGCACTGGTGACCTCTTGGTGCATAGGTCGATGCTCAATCACTGAGCCACACAAGCCAGGCTAGGGTGTAGATTTTCAAGACAATGCAATCTTCTCTGTCCCTGGAAATATTCAGAAAAGAGTGTGCCTTGGTTTGAGCAGCACAGGCAAGAGTGATGATTCAAGAAACCACTATAAAAGTGCACATATCACCAAGAAAAGGAGAACATCTTATTTCTTGTTAAGCAGAGTCAAACATGATCATTATTAACCATATATCACATATTTATAACAATTAAGTTGCAAGGCACTGTCATATACATTATACGGTCTCATTTGCCATACGAAGGAGGGCACGTATTCATTTACTCCTTAAATATTTCATGAATGCCTACTAGATGCCAGGCATCACACTAAGATGAATACGACACATTCTCAGCAAGCTTACTTTCTAGTTGAAGAGTAAAATGTAAGCCATTTAGATCACTCTAATATGTTATAGTGCGGACATGATGAAGTACTAAAGCAATATGGGGTTACTGATATTATAACCTCATTTTACAGAAAAGGAAACTGATCAGTAGTATTAATATCAGTAGTACAGGGTAATATTAATAATTAAATGAGAAACTGTATCAAAGTACTTAGTATAAAGCCAGCCCATAATAAGAACTCCGTAAGTGTTATTACTGAAGAGGTAGCATAGACTAATAGGAGCGTGGACTCTGTGAAACTTTTTGGCTTGGATCTCAGCTCTTACACATCTTAGCTGTGTGGCCTTGGGAGAGTTGTATGATCAATAGATCTGTTTCCCAAGGGCTAAGATGAGAGTAACAATTGCAACCATTTCCTAGGGTTGTTACTGTGAAATGGTGGTTGTTGTGAGGATTAATTTGACATATACAATTTAAAAAAGTATCCATGGTAAAGATCAAAGCTGGGAGGAGGACTAAAATTTTTACATCACACCAAACTTCTAGATGACTTCTCATAAAACAGCAATATGTGGCCCTGAAGCTTGTGATGCCCTTAAGTTTCACTGTGAAGAAGAGAGCCTCCTGCAACAAGTTCAAGGCAGGAAAAGGCAGCAAAGAATGTTTGGCATCTTGAGAATTAAGAGGGAAATGGGCCCAAATGGAGGGGGCCCAAAAGAGAGGGAAAGCATGGAAACAGGTGGGGTGGGATAATGGGGCTTGGACAGGAGTCAGAGTGGACCAATCAGGGATTGGCTTTGAGAAGACAGGAGGAATATGTTATCTACACACCTGTACTTTTTCTGGCACTAGGTAAGAGACAATCCTAAAATGTTATGAATACAGCTTAGCTAAACAAGAATATCCAAAGTAGTCCAACAATGACCTTTGGAGGTGTTTAGAAACATATGCTCTTTTCTCTCATTTGGGTTCCCACAGGAAACTGATGGACATGAAATAGGCACTGATACTGCTCTATGACATGTCTCATGAGACTGAGAGGGTTTTCATGTTGGCTACCTTTCATTTTTTTTTTTTTTTTGAATGAGTGATTTCAGTGTCCTCTCTGTACACAGTGGGATAGGAAATGGCTGGAAACAGAGTCCATATTTGATCCTGAAAGTGAACATGACCTAAAAACATGAATAGTAAGAGCAGTAGTAATAGAACTAAGAGAATTACATGGTCTCCTAAGCAGTAGCCACTATGAGAAACCCTTCAAAGCACCTTGTTACGTTATTTTTGAAGTATGTCTTCTCTTGGTAACTGAGCAATAAAGAATCATGGAGTTTTGGAGTTAAAAGGAAAGATCAAATAATTTAATCCAATCCCCTTATTTTAGATTTGACAAAACTAAGGCCTTTAAACAATTATTGACTTGACAGTATTTAACAGATATAGTTAAGGGTACTTCTGCCTTAATCCAGAAACAAGAGAATAATAACTGCAAACTTTTATTGAACATTCACAATGGGTCAAGCACTAATTGTTTTACATGCATTATTTTTTTCTTCCCTCACAACAACCCTATCCAAAAAATCTTATTATAAGGAAAATCTCCATTTTGTCAAGAAGGAAATATGAACCTTAGAGAGGTTATTTAACTAATCTTAGGTCACATGGCTAGACAGGTGAGAAATTAATAAAAATTCTAAGTCTGGCCCTGGCCGATTTTGCTCAGCGGTTAGAGCATCGGCCTGCGGTCTAAAGAGACCCGGGTTCAGTTCCCGCTAAGGGCACGTACCTTGGTTGCAGTTTGTCCCTGGCCCTGGTTGGTTGTGCAGGTGGCAGCCACTCGATGTGTCCCTTTCACGTCAATGTTTCTCTCTCTCTCTCTCTCTGTTCCTCTCTCTCCCTCCCACTCTATCTGTACAAAAAATGGAAAAATGTCCTTGGGTGAGGATAAAAAAAAAAAAAATTCTAAGTCTGCATGGAATCAAAGCACAAGCCCTTAATTACTAATATTGCCTGGGATAACTCAGTGGAAAGGATGCTTTGGCTCTAGTGCCAACTTTCTTGATAACCTGAAACATAGTTTTGGAAAGTCACCACCTCTCGGGTTCTCAATTTCCTAACTGCTAGAAAGAGGAATAATTTCCATCCTGTCTGTCCCATGGTATAATTGTGTGGGTGAGATGAGATCATAGATATTAGAATTATTTTTAAAGTATTTAAAAAATGTGAGGAGATATCTAAAACTTGAAAATAAAACATCGGGGTACAAAGAGACATCTCTACAAACAAGAAGGTATATGGCTGGTTTAATAGCAGAAAACCGATCCATTCATTTGTTAACATTTTTACTCACTAGTGGGCATGGAAATGTCAGCTGTGACCCAATATAAAAGCTGTTGTCAAATGAGGACAGGAAGCTTCGTTTTCTGGATAACTAAACTACTCCATAACAGAGTTCAGAATTAGGCCTCAGTTTATCCACAGGGCAAACGGTGCAGGGTCACTGCCTATCACCCAGTTTCCCTCGAGTAGGGTTTCTCAACCTCAGCACCATCAACATTTTGAGCCAGCTAATTCTTTGTTGTGGGAAGCTGTCATGTGCATTGTAGGATGTTTAGCAGTATCCCTGACATATACCCACTTGATGCCAGTAGCACCCCACACACAAATTTTGACAGTCAAAAATATCTGATATTGCCAAAAGCCCTGCCCCAGTTGAGAACCACTATACTAGAACATTAAAGTAACTCCATATTAATGCATTGGAACTGAGGAAAAGAAAGAATTAAGCAAGCACGTTGTTTTAAATACTCAGAAATGAAAAAGAGAAAAAAATATGCCCCAAATAGCAATTACCGTATTATCAACTTCCAAGGTGAAACCAGTTA